ATCATAATACAAATGCATGAATGAGAGGCATAACATATGTGCAAAGTATAGCAAAAAACAATAATAAAAAAAAGAACAGAGGGTATGGTAACATTTAAATTATGGAGGACAGACGGTGTTGTTTATTTTAGATATAAATATACAAAGGTTTTTTAAAGATTTTTAAATTTGTCGTTGACATAATTTAAGTGTATTTGGCGTTTTACAATATCTTGGTTGTAGAAGATTTTTTCTGATGCTATTCAATGCTTTGCATTCGAAAATGAAATGAAATTCGTCTGCTATAATAACATAATTTACAAACTCTTTCATCTAATGGAATATTTGACCATCTACCAGTTTCAATTGGGAGATGGTGAATTGAGGTTCTAAATTTTATTGATATTTTTTGGAGTTTACTTGGTAAATTACTTAGATATTTTTCACATCCAAAAATCATTCTTAAAACTTTTGTAAATTTGACCTTTTGATGAATTATTAATATCACTATGCCATTTTTGAATAAACTGATCTCTTAATCTTTGCTTCACTGCTGCAAGTATCCAATTTCTGTCAATGAAACTCTGTTCATACCAAATGTTAGAGAACATTATACATGTCATTTATATCGACAGCACATTTGCTATTTTTATCAGATCTATTCAAAATTTTCCAGTAATTTTTGGGGTTTGTAGAATGCAAGTCTTTCATTTTTTTGCAATATTCTTTCTGTCATTTTTTATGCTTTCCTCAATTGTTTTCTTATATATTTTACTCATAACATTCAAATTACACTTGTTTTCTGTCGATTTATTTCGATTATACAAACGTTTAGCGAGATGAAACTTTTTTCTAGCATTTCTGCAGTCTCGATTAAAAACCATTGTTTATTATAATTATTATCAACCCCAGCCCTTCTATCTTTGTTATATCCAAATGTTTCTTTTGCTGCATTAAAGAACACGTCACATATATCGCGTGTTACAAGGTTGATCTTTTCCTTTGTTACATGAGTATTATCACCGCCTAATTCATCAAGCTTATTTTCAATGTTATTTACAGCAAGTGTTTCAATATAACAACGGAACTCCGCTGATTTGTTAGGGCACCATAATTTTACACCTGAGTGATTTACACCTGTGTTATTTATAATAACACTCTTACAACTAGTACTGATAAGGCATTGTGTACATCAGAATATAGATTACAAAATTCGACAACATCAAAATCAATAAACAAATCAATAATCTGCACACTGGCTAAAACATAATCTACAGTGCTACTATTTTTACAAGCTAAATCTCCCTTAAATTTGTCGTTGCCTACACGGCTATTTACAATATACATTTCGTTATTCCTACAAAAATCAATCAATTTTTGTCCATAGTTATTTACCGTGGTGTCTTTAACGGTTCTTTCTAATGGTATATTACATTTTTTTTTTTTAATCGTGGATCTTGTTAAAATATCAGTATACATGTTCTCATTACAATTGTTTTGGTGCAATACAAAATCAGAGAAAAACATGTGTGTAGACCTAGCCTAGGCTAACTTATTTCAATTTCAATGTGTTTATTGTAAGATGTTCATATACCTCATACTTATAAATGACGAAAAATAGTGGTTAAAGAAGACAATTTAATTTGCAATTTCTATAATATATATACGTATTTCGAAGAAAAAAGTTTAAGAATAGAGGAAATAAATTAAATACTACTTTAAATATTAGGAAGCTTGTTAAGGCCAGTTCAGAGATGGAGAAATATCTTTTTTTGCGTTTAATCGCAATATTTACTTCTTTTAAATGCAAATCATTGCGATCAATCGCAATAATCATTGCCTTCAAATGCAAAGCACTTTGGGTCTTATTTTTTTTCATTTCATTTTATTCAGGTAAAAATATCACAGAATGTCATGATTAACAAATTAAAACATTACTTACTAGCATACTACTAGAAAAAAGAAATACACACACATTATCGCAGCACAATGCTAATTAAAGAAGATCAATTTAACATATATATGTAATTATTATTAAGTACATTGCATGACATACAGTTGATAGATATTACCTAAGGATAGCCCATGAAAGCCTTATTAAAAAAATTATTTCCAATGGGGTCCTCAAATAACAGCCATGTTAGTAAACAAAAAATAACAAAATTACATAAACACTGGAATTTAGGCAGGTACTTCTATGAGTATAGCATAATGCTTTGAAAAATGACATGTTTACAGTAGCATATTTTGTCTTGATAATTATCACAAAATGCTTATGATACTAAAATAATAAATAAACAATAAAAATTAAACAAGCTTTTTATGTAGTAACACTAGCATTTGTAGATAAAAAAAGATTTCACAGATTTTCTAAAACTTTGTTTTGTTTTCAACTCTTTAATTTCCAGTGGCAATGTATTCCAATCTTTGATTGCATTATAGAAAAAAACATGAAGACTCTTTCCCTTTTATCTTTGGTATAAGAATATTCTTATTTGTTGCACTTCTTGTGATATTATTATGTAAAACAAAATGTTCATGGAGGTAAGCTGGTGCGTTACCATGATATATATTAAAAACATGATTTAATCTTAATTGTTTAGCTCTTTCCTCCACTCTTCACATATTTAGAGAGTTTAAAATATTGTTAGAAATACTCTCTCTCCAGGACTAAGGTTTAAAATGAACCGTACTTCTTTGTTCTGGGTTACTTGTAATCTGTGTTTCAGTTGCTTGTTTATTCCACAATACCAAGAAGAACTGGCATAGTCAAAATAACATTGTATCAAGGCAGAACATAGGGTCTTTCTAGAATGTGTACTAAGACAGGATGCATTTCTATATAAAAACTTAAGTCTACCATTAACTTTTTGTATGATACTTAAAACAATATTTTCACATGAAAGAAACTTGTCAATACAGATTCCTAAATATTTAACACTGTCAGAACCTTTAATAATATAACCATTACACACAATTTTAAAATCTGTGATACTTTTAAGCTTTCTTGGAGGACCAAATAAAATAGATTCTGTCTTACCTAAATGAAGTGACAATCTATTGTCAACTAACCAAGAAGAACATTTGTCAAGAACAATGCCCAGTTTTTGAGCAATAATAACAGGATCTCTGTGTGCATAAAAAATGGCACTGTCATCCGCATATAAAATTAATTTACAGTCATCATCAATACTGACAGTCATATCGTTGACATATATTAAAAATAAAAGAGGTCCTAAGATGCTGCCTTGAGGAACACCAATATTTACAGTATTAAAGTCTGAAGAAGTATTGTTGACATGAACTTGTTGTTGTCTACAAGACAGATAAGATTTGAACCACTCAGTGGATAAAACTCCTAAAACTTTTAACTTATCACATAAAATTGTATGATCAACAGTGTCAAAAGCTTTTTGCAAATCCAACATTACCATACCTGTAAAAAGCCCTTTGGATGTATTACTTTAAATCAAATCTAACATATGTATAAAACAAGTATCTGTTGAAAATTTGTTTCAAAACCTGATTGATAAGAATACATCAAGTGATTATTGTTTAAAAAATCTAAAAGTTAAACATGGACACATTTTTCCAAAATCTTTGAAACTATACATAATATACTGACTGGCCTATAATTTCCCACTTCAAGGGAATTTCCTTTCTTGAACAAAGGCTTAACTCTTGCCATTTTAAAATCATCTGGTACAGTACCGGTGGTTATAGATTTGTTTACAAAGGACATTATAGGTTCTTTAATATAAAAAGCACCATCTTTTAAAAACCTTGCTGGTATATTATCTAAACCAGTACTTTTATTTACATTCAAACTTTTTAGTTCTTTGTATATAAAATCTTCAGTCACAGGTTGAAGTACAAAAGTTTTGTTTTCTATGTTTTTATCTGCATAAAACTGCCTAAAAACCCTTGAGGTGACAGAAAACATATATGAAGGATTAGATAATTTGCTTACAAGTTTTAATGCAATAGTTGTAAAAAAAACAGTTAAAATAATCTGCTAAAGTTTTCCCTTCATGTTGTAGTATACCATCTATGTTTAAAACAATGTTTTCACTACTTTTTTGTTTATATTTGTATCCTTTGTTCTTGAGTTGTTGCCACAATTTTTTAGGCTCTGACCTATTTTCTTCAATTTTGTCTTGAAAGTAAGAGGATCTAGCTTTCTTTACTTCTCTCTGCACTTGATTTCTCAATTTACAAAATATCTTATTGTCTTCCTGACTTTTATGCTTTCTATATAAATACAAATGTTTATCTCTATCTCTAATGATGCATAAATTATCGCAAAAGATTGCGTTTAACCGCAATGATTTTTAGATTTAACGCTACAATAATTTTCGAGTTTGAATCCAATAATATTTTTGCGTTAATTGCAATAAAATTGCCATGATTGGAGTTAGGGCCAACAATGTGATAATTATTACAGTCCAAATTTCCTCTGTCATATTTATATTTTTTCCCCATGTTTAATCGAATATTACAAAAATCTGACTGATAAGAAATCAAAACTATTTATAGCCTCAGATTACTTTTGTTACCCTCATTCTCTTGTTATTAATGTTATATGGGGTCAATGATCAAATTATTGAGATATATTGTCCGGAATGGTTTTTGTACGTATTTTTGAATTTCTTTATTTCACAGCATTCAATTATTTGAAATAATTTATGAGCTTTAACACATATAATATTTGCAAAGTGATGTTAAAAAATAGATGTAACCTTTACTTTTTGATTTATATTGCAAGAAATAAAATTGACAAAAATGAAAAATTAAATTATTTTAATTTTTTTATTTTCTTTATTTGTATTTTTTCCCATTTTTCATTCAATGAAATAAACAACATGGAACCGGGAACAAAGAACTTTGTCTATAACCAATTAATTTTCAGTAATTGTCAGCTTAGTTCAGGACTTGATCCTATAATGTCAAAGGACAATGCTTAAATTTACCATTTTACGTGTATGTTTGAATGACATAATAATATGTACCTTTTTTTACAGTTATGTGGAAAAAGCATTGTTTCCAAGTCTTAATCACATCCTGGTATTTACTCCTCGCGACAAAGGTAACAGAATTTGGCATGTATATGTTTCAGTAGTATGTAGGAAATGGACATAACGAACAGTATTAAAAATCAAAGTCCATAAAACAATAAAAAATAGAAGCAGAACAAACATGGACCTTTAAAACATCAGAGGTGGTATCAGGTGCCATGGAGGAGTGAGCATCCCCTGCTCACCGGTCACATCAGCCGTGTGCTCCTTGTCATGATCGGGAAATGACGGAAAATGTGTCATCAATTCAGTGTATAAACATAGGACTAAAAATAAAAAAAAATCATTGAATACATATTTGCTCTCCTTTATCTTTTTTTTAAGATCAGTGATGCACTACAAAGAAGTTGCAGTGTTTCTCTTCCAACTCTGCAGTTGGTTTCAATGTGTCCTACAACCGAAGAGGAATTAGAAAAAGCTACAAAAAGAAAAGATTGCAAGAGCCTTGCTGAAATTCAAAAATGTGTCTTGCCAAGAAATTTTACATATCACTGTGTGATTAATGATCTCAAAAATGAAATTTACGAAGTGTGTGCTCCTGAAATCCATTCCCAAGGTAAACATTTTTAGTTTAGCATTTTGAGAGAAGGCTTATTTTTTTTTTCAAATTAACCATGCCTTACGCTTTTAGCATGCATCAACAATGTTACCGTTATCTTCAAAGAAAAACAAATGTTCATATCATGTAGTTGTTATTATTATGCTTTTACTGTAATTGGAGACATGTAATCTTATACTTTATATCTTAGAGATTCTAAAACTTGAATTAGTTTATTTCAACTACGTTTATACATATGCTAAAATAGCAAATCTCTCTCTCTCTCTCTCTCTCTCTCTCTCTCTCTCTCTCTCTCCAGCTGTATATATATATTGTATATTATTTTAGGAAGATGTCTAGAATTCGACCAGTATGGAAAAAGAATCCAAGAACTGCCCATCAACTGTGTACGAATGGGCTGCCCAAAGAAATTCAGAAGTTCAAACATACTTTCATGTACAACAGCAGAATTATTTATTAGCTTATAATGTATAAATAATCCTTACAATAATTTTGAACAATTTCGATCCCTTCTTTTTATTTTTTTTTTTCGATTTATTTTATCCTGTGTTGGTTGAGTGTGTCGCACAGGAAAAGAGAATATACTGAAAGTACAGAATCCTCCTTCTGCTTCCGGATTTTCAGCAAGCTTTGCTTTAGGACATTCTATTAGTAATAAAACGCTGTGGCGTCTCTCCCAACATTTTGAATTTCATTGAGTTTCGATCAGGAGTTCAGATGTTAGGATGGCACTCTATTCATGATATAGTAAAAATGAATAACTAGTATTCTTTGTGTTTTTATAGCAAAGGTTTATATATGAGTGTGTGTGTTTTTGAGTGTGTGCCATTTTTTATTTAGTTCACCTTCAGATGCTGTTCTTTGCATCTGTAATAGCGCTTTTTGTATTGTGCGAAATACATTAATTATTAAACATTTTCAGATTTCTCTTTCAATCCATAGAAAATATTTAAACCAATTTGGGTCTGTAGTATATTTTTGCGAAAGGGCACAAAATTTATAAAATCCACGACCCTACTTTCAGGGGACTAAAGGTAAAAAAATTAGGCAATCTTTTAAAGTCGTCTTTAATTCTGGACATCAAGCAGTCAAACTGTTGACATTGTTGTAATAAGCATTGTGTCCTCTACAAAAACTGAATTTTCAAGCCCAAGGTTGGAGGTTCTGGTGATAGAGCAAAGTGTAAGTGGGTTATTTTTTCAAATACCTTAATTCTTCTCTGTTCATTGGTATTAAACAAAGTAACTAAACAGTTAATATGAGCAATGGTACATATAAAAAAATAATTAATTTCATGGCCCCTAGATCAAAGGTTCTGGTGTTACATGTGGGCTTTATTGATTTTAAAGTAAAAATTGAACTCTTGATCATATTGTTTTGAAAAAATCACAATTTCTTTGAAATTATTTTTTCTGCCGATGGTTATTGAGCAAAAGAAAAAACAAGCAAACTTCAAACAAAAAAAAATAAATGTTAAATTATAACGCGCAAGTTTGTTTTTCTCTCCAAAATTTCTAGTTTTATGGTCCCTGAGTTATATTCTGGTATTGGGATGAAGTTCTATAAATTAATCAGTAAATGTAATTAATTCTATAAGAGAAAGGCGTGTTTTCTCCTGAGAAGTTCTCATAGTTATTATTAACAAGGATGCTTCTTTGAAACTTTTTAAAATTTCTGGTCCCAGGGTCAGGTTTCCTGGTGATTAGGGTTGGTGGGGGTTGTCTAATAAATATGTGTTATTTGTTTTATTTCCCTGGATTATGTATCTGGCAATAGGGCGATAGAGTAAAGGTGTTTTTATAACATGCAAGAGTTTTCATAACTATGAAGGCTGATTTTTTATATTCGTCAAGGTCTAAATTTTCTTTGCTAATATTTTTTTCATTACAAATAAAAGATAATGCAGTTGTCAACTATAATACTGTGCATCTCTCGATAAGTTAGCTGAAGATCACAATAGATGTATTGTCAAAACATGGGTAAATATACCGAATCCAAAGTAAAAATTATTGACTTTCAGTGTTTACTGATTGCGTATAAAGATTCAACTCTATCGTTGCATACAAATGAATTAAGCTCCTCCCCTCTTTATCTCAGGAACTCCTATCTTTTAAGTACTTAATGATTTTATGATTCTCATGTGGCCTTATAACCAACTAATATTGTAAATTTTAATAGTATCGATCTTTTGTTTCATTTAATAATTTCTAAGAAGTAACTTTATGAATTCCTATTTTGCATACTTTCTAGATAGGAGTTGCAGCAAGTTAGTTAAACACAGAGAAGATTTGACAGGAAATTACTCTTGGAATTAGTGAGTTTACCTTAAATGATCACAAGCTTCGAAATTCAAGGAGATAAAATTAGAGATTGCAGAGATAACATCACTAAAGACAGTTTCCAGTTCTATTGTGTCATTTCAATAGAATTCTGGTTCAGTAAGCATAATTGGAAAACTGTCAGTGAAAATTAATTACACTTTCCTCTTTTACAGTCTATCAACAATTTTGGCTGCTATCAGTGGCGTACTGTTTCTTCTGGTTTCACTTTTGTCTGGCATACTTCTTCGAAAAATGAAACAAAAGAACTATGGAGGTATTTTTCTCAAATTTATATTTTCATAATATAGAATTCAAGAAGTAAGTTCAATGTTACTACTTAAAATGGTTTAGTGATATTTATTTTTCTTATATATTCCAAGCTCTCTGATTGGCTCAAACATGATCAATTATATAACAGGATAAAGACTTGAGTTACTATTTATAGATTCTTAAAAGCATATCGACTTAATGCTTTTAAAAATGGAAATAGTTTTCTGTGAAACAACATTTGTGCTGAATTCTTAACACCTAAGACAGAGTATAACTTGATTTTTCTAAAAAAAAAAAAATTGTACTCAACTCTTTATTTATAATTGTGATGTTCTGTAATAATTAGTAAGACATAAGATGCCTTGAAGAAGAATCTACTTTATGTTAAAACATATACATTTAATATATATGTTTTTTTCAAAAATCAATACAAAACTTAATTAGACAATTTAGCCTTTTAAAAAAGGAAATCCCTTAAATTATTCTATCGGTACAAAGAATAACACACATTACATTATTAAAGGTACTTGGACACAGATTTGAAGTTATTATTTTCTCTATAATATTACGACTTATATATTTTAATAGCATTTCACACAGAAATTATTTAAAAATCTTATTTCGTTTAAAAGATATTGAAATTTCAAATTTTTCGGCGGGTTTGATTGACATATCGTTGCACTCTCACAAATTTAATTTTATTCTTAATCCTTAGGAAAAGTGGCAATCTCGTTTTGTATAAATGAAAAATATTAATACTATAATCCAGAAAATTCAGAGTAGACACGTTTGAAAGCAAAACAAACACACAATATATTGTCAGTCCGTGCAGTTGTGGTAAGCAGACTGTGACGATTGAACGCACTCGGTGAATTCTAAATATAAACAATAACAGAACTCGAGCCCGGTTTACAAAAACTGTGTACATAACACGAGTGTGCTCGATTTGCTAAACTCTGCACGCATCTCTTAGTTCGGAATGACGATACTTGTGAAAGTGTTTTGCTTTCTAACATTTCTACTCTGAATAAAATTATTTTTCTTGATAAAAGTTTTAATATTTCTCATTAAAACACATCAAAATTGCCACTTTTCCTAAGGATTAAGAATTAAGTTAAAATTTGTGAAAGTGCAAGGATGTGTCAATCAAACCCGCCAAAAAATGTAAAGTTTTAATAACTTTTAAACGAAATAAGATTTTTAATTAATTTTTGTGTGAAATGCTATTTAAATATATAATTCGTGATATCATACAGAAAAAATGAGAAAATATTAACTTCAAATCTGTGTCCAAGTACCTTTAAAAAAGATTTTTTTTTTAATCTCTAGTCTCTCAGTGTTAAAAAAAGACAGGCGAGGTATGGTTTTGTCAATCTCTGTAAAAAAAAAAATTATATAACAAATGTAGCCCTTTAATTCGGTCAATCCATAGATATATCGACTTCACAGATATATTTTTCTGTGAAGTCGATATATCTATGGGTTGACCGAATTAAAGGGCTACATTTGTTATAGTATTCAACGATATTCAATGATATGCAACAATATTCAATGATATTGAATGATAAGCAATGACATTCATTGATATTCAATGATACAATGATATTCAACAATATTCAATGCTATACAACGATAGTCAATGATATGTAGCGATATTCAATGATATGTAATGATATTCTATGATATACAATGATACCTGCATTGCAATGAGCAGGTAATGATGTATTCAGTCTGACGTGAACCTCTATGGGATGTTGTTAGAGGTTAGTGTAGCGAGTATGCGAGCAGATCTTACATCTAATTTTAATTAGATTGGTAAAATATGAAAGCCCTAGATTTACTGCTTCATGAGTTATGTTCAAGATTAAGTTTTTGAAACAGAGTGAAACTCTAAGATTAGACCCAATGAAATGTCTTGTTACATTGAATACACATGGGAAGAATGAAAGCCCTAGCACCAACTATTCAAAAGTTATGGTCAAGGTTAAAGTTCCAAGGTCAAGGTGAAAAGGTGGAATTTAGTGGTGTTACGAGAGAGGTCCTGTTACAAGGAACACCCCTATAAAATATGAAGTAATGGACAGGGTGAAAGTGTTTGCGCACAAACAGACAAACAAACAAACAGACAGGCAGACAGTCAAACAGAGGACGGACAGGGCAAACATTATATACTCCGAATCTTCGATTACGGGGGCATAAAACTTATGAGCATATATAACTATTTATCTTTTTCCCTTATCATCATCAGCTTGTAATTTTCAGAATCGACAAAAATTTTAAATGGGGAAGAATCAACTGCGAATGCAATACAGAAAATCACTGATGATTACGGTAAACCTTCTCTCTCTCTCTCTCTCTCTCTCTCTCTCTCTCTCTCTCTCTCTCTCTCTCTCTCTCTCTCTCTCTCTCTCTCTCTCTCTCTCCATTCTTGAGTTTGTGTGTTCCATATCGTTTTTCAAAATGAAAACTACATGTCGATATATAATTTATAACATTATTACAATTCAATTCCTTTAAGGATAGACTGGATATTTGCAGTTATAGTTTACTGTTCATTTGATATTAACAGATTCAAGACAAAGAAGAAAAGGAAAGGTAAACATGAATGCATTATTTATCATAGTCACATTATTATATTTATTACTTCTGCTTTTCTATAATGATTTGATCCAAACTACATAAAACACCAACAGGTAAAGGAGAACATTCCTCACCCTTTTCGTTAAGGGTTTTTCATGGTTTTCATGAATAAATGTTATCAATAAAATTTGTTTAAGAAATTTCTCAATTATTTTTGTTTTAAAAATGTATTAGTATACATTTCACATTTTTGTTGCCGTTAAAACTTGTTTTTTTTAAATCATCTGACATAAGGTCATGAAATACGTTCATGCTTTTTAGCTCACCTGAGCCGAAGGCTCAAATGAGCTTTTCTGATCAAAATATGGCCGTCGTCTGTCGTCGTCGTAAACTTTTCACATTTTCATCTTCTTCCCAAGAACCACTGGGCCAATTTCAACCAAACTTGCCACAAAGTATCCTTAGGTAAAGGGAATTCAAGCTTGTTCACAGGAAGGGCCACACCTTCTTCCAAGAGTAAATATTTAAATAATTGAAAAATAAAAGTCATTTGAAAAAAAAAATTCTCCTCAAGAACCACTGGGCCAGGAAAGATGAAACTCATGTGGAAGCATCCTCAGATAGTGTTGATTCAAGTTTGTCCAAAACATGACCCCCGGGGATACGTTGGGGCCACAATGGCTGACCAATTTTTTACATAGTAGTTTATAGGTAAAATCTTTAAAAATCTTCTCAAGAACCACTGGGCCAGGAAAGATGATACTCATGTGGAAGCATTCTCAAGTAGTGTAGATTCAAGTTTTTTTCAAATCATGACCCCCGGGGGTACGTTGGGGCCACAATGGCTGACCAAATTTTTACATAGTAGTATATAGGTAAAACCTTTAAAAATCTTCTTCTCAAGAACCACTGGGCCAGGAAAGATGATACTCATGTGGAAGCATTCTCAAGTAGTGTCGATTCAAGTTTGTTCAAATCATGACCCCCAGGGGTAGGTCGGGGTCACAATGGCCGACCAAAGTTGAACATAGGAGTATATAGGTAAAATCTTTAAAAATCTTCTTCTCAAGAACCACTGGGCCAGGAAAGATGAAACTCATGTGGAAGCATCCTCAGATAGTGTCGATTCAAGTTTGTTTAAATCATGACCCCCGGGGTTGAATGGGGCCAAAATGGCTGATCAAAGTTTTATATAGGACTTGATATGGACATCTTCAAAAATCGTCTTCTCGAGTACTTCAAAGCCATGATAAGTGATATTTATATGGTATCATTCTCAGGTAGTGTTGATTCTAGATTCTGATTCTTGATTCTGATTGTTCATATTTTGACCCCCCAGGATAGGGTGGGGTCACAATATGGATTCAAGTTTTACATGAAATATATTTTTAAAAATCTGCTCAAGAATACTTAAACCATGATTAGTGATACATGTACTAGTATTTATATGGAAGCATTTACGGATAGTGTAGAATTAAGTTTGTTCAAATCCTGATTTAAATTTTTTTTCAAATTATGACCCTTTGGGGTAGGGAGGGAAACAATGTGGAATCAAATTCAAATTTTTATGAAGTTATATATAGGAAGAAAATGTTTTAAAAATCTTTTTATCAAAAACAGCAAAGTCCTATGCTGTATTAATATGAAAGCATTCGCAAGTAGTATTAAATTCAAAACCCCCTTCTGATTTGTGCTTTTTCCTAGCCGATTTGCTCAGGTGAGCGATGTGGCCCCTGGGCCTCTTGTTTATACACTGTAATTTACTCAGGGGCATTATTGAAACATTAGTTAACTGTTTTTATCATTATTTACCATTTGTAAAAATGAGACTGAGCGCAAGATGAACGCAATGTGAACGGAACGAAGAGCAAACGCTAATAGCTTCGTGAACGTGAGGGAATGGTGAACGCTGAACACAAAACTGTGATGGAGAACGAACGGTTAACGAACACTAAACGAACGGTTGACGCACCCTGAACAAATGGTGAACGAATTGTGAGCAAACGGAAAATGAGAAAATACAAATGACTGTTTTTAAGTTTAATACTCTACTTCTTTGTATTAAGTTTATATAGCAGGCGTGATACTATTATTAACCAAATATGAATTACTGTACATTAAAAGCAATCACGTGACGTCATTATCCGACTTTCCGGATCACTACAATGTGTTTTCTGAATCCATATCACCACTCTCGAACTCTGAGAAAGTGATACGCAGAAACATGAAGTAATTTTTCTTACGCATTAGAAAGGTTCTTTGACGAGTCGTTCTTGTTTGTTCTCACGAACTGCGTCTGTCAACTCGACTGATACAACCCTTCGGATCAAGTTTTTGTGATAGATGTAACAATATTTATTTATAAAAGCTGTATTCAAAGCAAAATGTATGAATTCTGGCATAAATAGAATAAACAATGCGTTGTATCAGTCAGTCGAGCAAAACTGTTTTTTGTTTTCTTAATTATAATTTACATACGTTTTTCATACGCAATATTTGTAGAGAGTATGTGGAATCAAATGTTTCCCTTAACTATACAGGAGCAGATCTCCCAGCGCACAAAACTTCTGACAACTTCAACCTTAAGCATAAAAAGTTGTGAAAGTCACGTGACAGTTAAACAAGGTAAATAGGTTTCAGGTGGATGTGATATTTCAAGCAGTTGCAAAAATAATTGCAGTTTGTCGTTTTTAACATTGAATATTAAGCAAAACACTTGATTTATATTTATATATGAATCTGTTTCAGGTTTTGACGCAAAAACGTTTAACTTTTTCTTGAAAAGACACAATTTGCAGGATTGTAAAAAGGTTTTATTCAAGAATAAAATTGACTGTCTTCAAACATTCTTTGAACTAGACGAAGAAAAATTAACATCACTTGGTCTTGATTATGGACAAGTGTTAAAATGCTTACGGGCGAAAAAGACAATACAAACAGAAAGTAGCGTTTAAATGTTTACAATGCATATTTAACTACCGTTTTACATAGCATTCATATTTTACATCTATTTCCTTGTGACTATGCCTTTTCGGAATTTTAACATTTTGATCCCTTTACCTTCACCATGACCTGGGGAGATTAGTGTTTTACAAAGACAAATGTTTTATTTGGTGTGTTCGACATTAAGATTTCCTGTGTATTGTTGGCAAACAATAATAATGAGAAATGCTTTTAGTACTAAAATTGTGAACTCTTTTATAAATTTTCATTTTTACGTAAACTATTTTTTCCATGTCAAATAAACACTGGAGATGTTTTAAACTTTTTTTATTGCGCGTCTGGTCAATTTATCAATACAAAATATGACAATGTCAATGAATGTATTCTCATAAATTGCCATAAGCACAGTGTTGAGAAATATTACAAGTATAGTTATACATATGTCCATGCGTGTCAAAAAAAAAAGTACAAAGTTACAAAACTAACAATGAGCTAACCAGGAGAGCCAACTCTCTCAAAAATATTTTTAGAAAATTTACACAGTTTTGTCAATTTAACTGAATTTTTGGTATTAAAAAATTGATCAAACTTATACACATTTGGATGTGAATAGTAATATTTTGATAATAATGATAACCTTGAATTCAAAATAAGTGAATCATTACAATTTAATAAGAAGTGAAATTCATCACCATTTTGAACATAATTTACAAACTCGGTTTTTTCTTGGTACATTATGCCATCTTTCGACTTCAATTGGTTATTTATTATTACAAGTTCTATAATTACAATTTATTTTCCAGTACTTAAGGGGCAAAGATACTAAATACTTTTCTAAATAAAATTAAGTTTTATATGTTCTACAATTAAGACCTTTAGACGAGTTAAACATTTCACTATACCACTTCTGTTTAAACTGATCATACAGAGTGTTAAACACTATTTTCTTCAGCTATTACACATTTACAGGTTGACAAGTATGCCAAATATTAGAAAATCCACATTCATTCATTATAGATTTGACAAAGTTACACCATGGATTATTGTAGCTCTTTAAAACACTTAACAAATTCGGTGATAATTTATCCCTTTGTAAAAAAGAAAAAAAGTTTACATCAAAAACTTATCATTCTAACCTTTATATTAATTGAAATAGGGTATCGACCTAATTCACCATATACCATAAAATTTGGTGTTGATGATTTTACATGCAAAATATGCTTACAAAATTTTAAATGCAATTTTTCAATCAATGGTGACTGATTAAAACCCCACACTTCACATCCATATAAAACTATAGTTTTACAATTTTGTCAAACATATCCATCGTGCATTCTACATTAAGGTTGTGTTCTCTACATTTTTCAATAAAACCGTATATAGCTTTTGTTGCTTTCTGAGATAATTCTTTCACATTTGTGTTAAATGAACCATTTTTACAAAGATTTACTCCTAAATATTTAAAATTATATACGATTTCTAATATTTTTTCCATTTAATGTAAATGGTTTTTCACTTGATTTCTTGGATTGCCCTTACCAAAGATTACAACTTTAGATTTATTGGTGTTAACTTTCAGATGCCATTGTTTACAATATTTGTTAAATACATCCGATTGGTATTGTAAGTCTCCTGGTGTTTCTGACAAAAGGATCGTGTCATCTGCATATAGCAAAACAAACAATCGAAGATACAAATTAAACTCGGATTCTAATTTAGACGTTTTAAATGATAAGCATTTTACATTATTTGAATTCATGAAATCTTCAAGGTTGTTTAGATAGACGGCAAACAAAAATTGGGATAGGTTTTCCCCTTGTCTAACACCTACAGTACAAGGAAAGGGATAAGAATAAAGACCATTTGAGACTACTATTGATTTAATACTTTTATACAGCTGTGTTATAACATTAAAACATTTACCATCTATAGTATTTAATAAAAATTTATTCCAAAGACCTAAACGCAAGACAGAGTCGAACGCTTTTTCGAAATCAATAAAGGCACAGTACAACCTTTTCCTATGATACTTTGATGTTTCAATCAATGCATACAAAGTGAAAATGTGGTCTAAAGTAGAGTAGTTTTTTCTTAAACCAGCTTGATTTTCTAAAATAAGATGGACAGTATTCGCATAATGATTAAGTCTCTCATTCAGAATAGACGTAAACAATTTACCCAAACATCGTATTAAATTAATGGGTCTATAATTTTTAGGATCTGTTGTGTCACCTATGTTTTTATATAATGGAATAATATTTCCAAATGTCCGTTGAGAAGGTATGATTCCTGAATCAAAAATCGTGTTAAATGATATTACATGTACATAAAAGTTTGACATAGTATCTACAGTGGATTTTAAATATTCATTAACGATGTTGTCATGTCAACCTGACTTATAATTTAGAGCATGTATACATTTTGTAACTCTTCATGTGTGATTGGTTGAATTATGCTGTTATTGAGTTCTAAATTTGACAACAATTTTAGTTCATCATCAGTCAAAACATGTTCATTTTCTCCCTCTACTCCAATGTTGCAACAATATTGATAAAAATTCATATAGTTTGGATAATTCTAAATTACATCACTTATTGTTACCATCAGAGTTTAATGTTTTCTAATATTCTTTTGGGTTATATGATCTTAACTATTGTAATTTCCTTTTCATATCTGTCCAGTGAAAATTTCGAGCAGATTTTAATTTTTGTTTGAACAACTTTTCCTTTTCATACAAATCTTTTTTAAAAATATTACCTCCAAATCGTTTAAACTATTGTTGTGCTTTTTTTTTAAATTCATTACAATTACAATCATTTATTACAATTATATGGACTATTTTCTAGATTTGGATTCATTTTATTTTTATTATATATTTATTTTATTATATTTTTATTTTTACTTCTATTGGATTATGCACATCTGAGTACAATGTAGAAAAACCTAAAACAGACATTTCTGAAACTTATTTGATAAAGTTAACATATGCAATGCAATAGTCTACTAAATTACAGTTTTTACCTTTTGTTTTGTCGTTTGACTTTCTATCAACAGATAAACCATACTTTTCAAGTCTTGTTACATCACATGTATCAAAAAGAAAAATATTTTCATCTATTATGTCATTTGAAAATAAATGATCATTTTTATGAGAGTTGATGTTTTCAATGTAGTCCTTCTCCAAAGCAACCCTACTATTAAAATCGCCCATAAGACATATGCTATCTAAACTATCAATTAGATTATTGGTTTCTACTTCTATATCATCAAAAATGTCTGTAGATGAAAAACGAGAATTTATAAGGTGGGATGTAAACAGTACCGATAATTACATCATTTTATGCGAGAACCAAGTTTGGAATGTAATGCACTGGGTTTGTCAAAAGTGAAAATGATCCTAAGGTTAACCTCCAGTTCACAATCGAGTCGAGAAATGCTTAATTTAAGTTACATGTACGCCTGAAAAAGCAATTATGTACAAATGACATACCGGTACACAAATCACTGAACATGAACAGATGATGGTGTGGAGTCAGATAGCTCATCCATACTTTACATGTAAATTATTTTTCAATACCACATATTTATTCCTTGTCGTTCGTATAAAACACGTACGAAATTTTCTTTTATTTCTGTTACAGATGAGATTCTCATGAGGTTGATCATTTTTAAAAATGAATACAGAATAAAATATCTGATAAACCATGTCATAAATAGTATCTGTTTTATATAAATCTGCTCGTGAAATGTGTCTGTAATTTTTCTTGGAGGAAGTGTGTTCCATTTTTAATGAGTGTTTTCTCTATCCTTTACGTCAATTTAAGTTAATCTTAATTAAAAACAAGAGGTACTATGAGCAATGAGCGCACTAAATGATAACTCTGCCTCCAATATGAATATAATAGCGGTGTCCATGTTTTGCGATGAGAAAACCCAAAATGTGTATGGGATCAAAAAGTTAAATAGGAGGTGCACAATGGCAATATGAAATAAAGATTCTTTTAAAGTCATATCAAATTTGATTCAGTGTTATAAAAGGAATGCGGATAAGAGATGGATACCCCCAAAGCGTAACAGACGGACGTACAGACGCAGGGACAAACAGATGGACATCCCGATAATTACATACCCTCCCGACTTTTGAAGCGGGGGTATAAAAATGATACATTCCTCTTATGAGATAAGTACGTCTGCTACTAATTAATCAAGATGGATGGAAAATTCCTCTGTATTCGTCGGTATCTTTTCACACTTTATCTCACATGAATCGAGGGATCAATTGAGCTCAACAGAACATTTTCCCCTTTTCAATAGATGTCCCTATAGTCAACGCTGCCAGTTTTAAGCCTTTTTTTGTTTGTTGTCATACACTTTTCGTATTTTCTTTTCTGTCTTTGTTATACCCCCGCTTGAAAAGTGGGAGGGTATACTGTAATTGGTATGTCCATCCGTGTGTCTGTACGTCCGACTGTCTGTTACGCTTTGGGATACACATCTCTTATCCACAACTCCTCTTATATCACTGAGTGAAATTTAATAAAACTTTCACAGAATCTTTATTGCATATTGCCATTGTGCTTTTCCTATTTTACTTTTTGATCCGACACGTGTTTAAGGTTTAGCATAGCAAACCGTGGACATTGCCGTTATATTCTTACCTAAGACGTGAGATATGGCGGCTTCTGAATAACATTAGATACCACGAGTTATTCCTCTTTACACATCACCGTAAAACAATATATAGCAAATCATGGACATTATTGGAGGCGGGGTATCATTTTGTGAGCTCATTGCTCACAGAACATGTACTTTTTGTTTTGTTTCGTTTTTTAATAATGACGCCTAGGAATAGGGTTGAACCAACATAGGAGTTCAAAGTTTTACACAGGAAAAGATATTAAAAATCTTATAATTTCATATCAGCAAATGTATTAATCTCTGCAAAATTCGTCTGCACTAAATCTTTTGTATGGACGTCTCTAAACCCCAAACCATTGCGGCACAAATTGATTCGGAATATCCTGTCTTAATTTGGACCGCTAGTTTTATCTAAATGGGTAGAAATGACTCCCCAGTAAGCTTCAACTTCTTGCTTTAAACACCCTTTTAAGTGTTTGTTAAAAAACATTCGTTCTTATCTTTTTAAGGATTCAATTTACTTACAATGAAGTTGCTTTTTTCAACAGTAGCTGATTTTAATTT